CTGGTCCCCTCCACCCCAGGCTCCTTTCCCAGGTCTTCTGGGTAGACCCTTTTAACTTCAGGGAACCTCAGCGACAAGGGGTCACTGTTGGGTGGCCCTACTACTGTCGACCTACTGGGACAGCTGACCCTGTCCCTGGTGCCTAGGCTCTCCAGTTAGCCCTCTTATCTGTTGTGACTTTAAGCCTGGTGACAGTGCTGGGACCCCAGAACAGAAGCCCTAGGCCCCTGGCTGAATCACACCCAGAGTGCTCCAGAGCCTCCTGACACCGAGGAGCTCTGCCTGGACCTAGTAGTGACTGAGCAGGATCTGTGGCCTGTCATAAGCTGGGCCCCTTCCCTGTATGGCCCTGTAGCCTTTCTCTGTTAGAACTTTAGTAGCAGGTCTGGCCTCTCCTGACTAATAGAAAGTTCCTGGAGACCCTGCAGGTCCAGACTGGGCCTGGCCAAAGTTCAGTCCTTGGCACTTGGCCACCAAGGGACTCTCCATACCCCAGAAACCCTTCCTCCTCCCCCCACTGACCTTATACTGCAGCCTTAAGAAGACAGAGCCCCATCTGAGGCTGAGCAGCCTGGCCCCTCCCCTGTCCCGCGACTAGCAGTGTGGCAATCAACCCAGACCCAGAGGCTGAGCAGAAATTTCCAGTCTGTCTGGCAAAGCTGGAAGGGCTTGGGTGGAGCTCAGAGGTGCAGCTGGGCAGGCTCCTTGGTGGGGCTGAAGTGGGGGATGGTGAAGGACCCTCCCCCCAGATGTCCCAAAGGCTGGCTTAGCAACTGAAACACCACCATGGGACAGAGGCTGTTGCCCTCCGCCCTTCCCCTGAGTCTTCCCCTGGAGAGGCTAGGACAGTAGTGTTGAAGTCCTTTGACCACCAAGAGGACCAGGGATGCCCCAATTGGGTCATCACCCCCAAAACAACTTGAACTTGGAGTACTTTGCACACATGGCTGTGTGACCTGGCTGAGTAACTCAGCCTCTTTGGGCCGTGTTCTGTCTCCCTGTGCCCTTGCCTCACCAGGAGGAAGAGATGAACTGAGTCCTAGCACTGACCCAAGCTAAGTTTCAATGAGACTAAACAGACACAGGAGGCAATTAAGCATGGTAGGAAAAAAATGGATGGATGATGGAACGATGGAAGGATGGGTAAGTGGGCGGTGGAGAGATGGATTAGTGAATGAATGGATGGATGGATGGACGGATGGATGGGAGGGTGGGTGGAGAGATGGATAGATGAGTAGGTAGGTGAGCAGATAAGATGGGTGGTTGGGTGGGTAAATGGATGGATAGGTGGGTGAATGGATGGGTAGATGGATAGGTAGTAGATGGGTGAATGGGTGGGTTGGTGAGTGGGCAGATGGATAGATGGGTGGATGGATAGGTGGGTAAACAGATGATAGGTGGGTGGATGAATGGGAGGGTAGGCGAATGGATGGATAATGAAATGATTGGTGAATGGATGGGTAGGTAGGTGGGCAGATAGATGGGTGGTTGGGTGGGTGAGTGGATGGATAGAAGCGTGGGTAGATGGATAGGTGGGTGGGCTGGTGAACAACTGATCTTAGGCCCAGGCAGGAGGCCCCAGAGCCTCCGAGCCTGATCCCCTGGCCTGAGCTGTGTGCTCTGTGGGGCCCTGGTGTGTAGGTGGCTTCCAGCAGTCAAGCTTGGCTGGGGAGATGAAGAAAGGAATCAAGGACAGCCAGGCAAGGCTTTGGAATGCCGACTTTCTTGGGAGAGAAAAGTGGGTCAGTGTCAGAGAACCTTTGAGAGGGGCCTGTGGCCCGAAGGAACGTCCAGGTACGCCCAGTTCACAAGATGAAGACCCTGTGCCAACAAGAGGGCACTGTGTGGGCCGTTGTTAAGTCAGGGGTCAAGGTTCAGATCGTTTCCTCCTCCCACCACCTGCACCAGTTTCCCCAGTGTCAGGCTCTGCACATATCCACTGGGAAGGTCCTCTGAAAGGAGTCTGGCGGGCACTTTCAGCCACCAGCAAGCAGGCAGTGAAGATAGCCAACCGCCAGGCTGTGTCTGCTTATACCTGTAGACAAGTCCAGGCCTCCCTGAACACGGCCTTCCATGTTTCAGTCAGGCTCTGCTGGCCTGAGCAGCTCCCGCCCTCCTTCTCCCAGCACAGGAGAGAATGGCCTAGAAACAGCACAATCATCCGGGCACACAGACACACCTCACAGCACACACCTACACACATAGACACCCCCCCACACACACACAGCACATACGTGCCCATGGACACTCCCACAGCACACACCCGTGTACAGGGACACACTCCCACAGCACACACCCGTGTACAGGGACACACTCCCACAGCACAGGTGCTAGTGCACACAGATACATCAGCACACTGCATATACAGGCACTGAACAGGTCAGGGCACACTGGCAGGCACACCTACACTCTGCCTGCACTACGTGCCCTCTACACACATTCACACACAAAGGCTGCACAGGTCCAGGCATACACACACGCACACACACACGCCTGCCCACATTCCCCCCACACCAGCTCACACTCACACACCAGCTCACACTCACACCCTGGCTCTACTGAGCGCAAACAGTTGGCGCTGGCGTGGGGCGGGGAGGGAACGGGAAGGATGAAGCCCACGACTCAGCGGAGGAAGAGGGGTGCGGGGGTGCGCGGGCGAAGAGATGACAGCCCGCGGTCCCTCTCGAGTCCCGGCTCATGAATATTAATGCGGCGGTAATTAAAATGCAGGGACGCAGCAGGATGGATGCTGTGCCTCCTGAGCAGAGCTCCGCGGAGCGGGCGAGTGGAGAGGCTCCGCGGGCCCTGCGAGACCCGGCCGGCGAGCGGGACCCCTGCGCCCCGGTCCCCTCCACCCGAGTCCCTGTCCCTTCCACACCTACCGGCCGGGTCCCCTGTACCCCTGCGCCCGGTCCCCTCCACCCTTGCGTCCCTGTCCCCTCCCCCCCACCACAGCGGTCCCCTCCTCTACATCCTGATCCCCTCAATCCCTATCCCCTCCTCTCCTGCATCCCGGTCCCCTCCTCCCCTACATCCAGGACCCCTCTTCCCCTGCATCCGGGCTCCCTCCTCCCCTGCATCCCGGTCCCCTCCTCCTCCCCGACCGCCCTCGCCCTCGCCCTCGGGTGGGCTGCGCGCCAGGCCTCCTTCCCGGAGCCCTGCCTGCGCTCAGCCGCTGATGTCAGAGGCTCAAAACTTTCCGCTTCCCGCCCCGCGGTCTCAGGCCCTGAGTCATCGCCGCCCCGGTAGCCCTGGCCTGCGACATCTGTTTGTGCAGATCCCTGCTCCCGTGGCCCTGCTTGACGTCAGGGCCCAGCGGCCAAGACACTCCGGGGGGCCTGGTAGTGTGGATTTCAGTGCAGCCTAGGCTGTGGAGTCAGACCCTATCTCAAAAACAAAACAAAAAACAAAAACTACAGAAAAATCGGTGAAGATTTATGGAGCCAATTATGCAAACTAAGTAAACTGAGGCTGGAATGAGAAAGAGATCCACCACCCAGGGTCCCCAGCAGCAGCTGACCTACCAGACCGTGGTCAGTGAGAAACTGCACCCCACAACATCAGAGGGGAGGCAGGGACTGTGGAACAGCTCCTGGGATGGGGGACAGAGAGTTCCACAAAAATACAAACACAATTATGGGGACACTTCTCTACAGGCCCCCTATCTCAGCTCTGAAAAGGCACCCTGTAATATAGTGAAATGTCTCTGGGGGTGTCTGTGTGTCAGGGAACAAGGGGGAAAGTCCCACACTTGCTGTGTGCTGGCTAGCTGTTGGGGGGTGACTGTGTTTGGGGTTGCTATTGGTATCAGATCTGGGTTCAAATCCTGACGCTGGCTGCCTCCTCCCTCCCCCAGCCACAGGTACTGAGACTTGCTAACAAAAGACAACCCAGCTGTCAGGCATCACACGGAGCAAGCAACCCCAGGGCCTGCAGGTCTCCAACTCTCTTGGGCTGTTTGGCATGTGGTTTTGGGACCTACCTCACAGAGGGAAAAACTGAGGCTAGCTCAGCCTGTTGCTCTCAGGGGCTAATGGGGTTGGGGATCAGGACCTGGCTCAGGTTTCCAGACTGTTCTTCCTTACCTCTATCCAGCATCTATCTGCCCCTGGGTCAGCTCAACCCCAGACTGGTCAGTGGCTGGGTCTCTACCGGCCCTTGGACTCTGCCCACACATCTTGGAGGTTAACGGACCTGGCGGGCTGCGGGGCCCCCATCCTGCCCTCCTACCCCAGCCCTTCTGGAGCTCTTTCAAGTCCTCAGGCTCCTCCTCAAGCCTCCAGGCCTTGGCACAGGCTGTTTGTGCTGCTGGAACTCTCCAGGCCTAGGCTGATTAACTCCTCCTACTCCATCTCCTTTCCCTCTTCCCTCTGGGACAGTCCCAGTTAGCACCACCCCACACAAACACACGTACACACACGTACACAGGCATATGCACACGTACACACACCCCCAGCACACACACCTCACAACACACAGAACACATCCCACACAGGCACAAACATGCACCATCACACAGGACACAGGACACTTGCACACCTGGGCAAGCACATACAAGACAAAGAATGGAATGCACCCCTCCCCCAGCACACAGCCCACACCTCACCAACACCTCACTTCCTGACACAGGCTTCAGGTCTACTGGGCTGCCTCTTCTGTGGCCTCCAGACCCCCCCCCCCACCCCCTC